AAAAACGATCCAAGTCGAAGAGGATCAGGATTCTGATATCAAAAAAAAGGAAGGCCTCCTCTGCGATGGAAAGTCGAGGTGGAGAAGGACTTGTGTTAAGAAACGACCCCCGTACTTAATTGGACTCGGCTAGATCGCTTAAGTGGCTACAGTGGCAATCAAGAAAAATATAAAAATTTTTTAGCGTCCAAATCAACAGCAAAAATAAAAATGAATATTAAAAAGTTAATAACAATAGAATTATAAATTCTCCATAATACTGTGATGACTATGACGAAGTCCATAGGCGCCATAAGAAGCAATGAACTCGAGGTTGCCGAAAACTGTGCATATGTACGTAGATATGTGTGTATCGTGCACATTTATATGGTACTTCAGCTATTTTTAGTGTATATTTTTGTTGTGTTTTTTCAGTATGTTATTGTTATTGCCGCTTGTTTTATACATATTGTGTCTAGTTTATTTTTATAGTGTCTTTCTCTGTACTTCAATTGCCTTTGCGGCTGCTGTGCGAACTCAAATTTGGCACGAAAATATATAAAAATATTAATTTTTAATTTTCCTCTTCATGCCCATGCACATACCAACACGCGCCTTCGTCGACGAGCCACCCACTGAACTTGGCCGCAGCACGCGGTACTTCAACCCTGCTTACATTCATAGATATTTTTATATGCAGATAGTACATTTACATATGTAGACAAGTATGTATGTAAGTACAACATACAAAATTCCACCGGAAAAAAATTTGTCCGTTTCGCTTTTTGCTCTGCAATTTTTATTTTCATGTTTACAGTAATTGAGTGTGAATGTCGACACGCCCACTCAGTGGCTGGCACTTTTGACTTGCAACAATTTTGAGTAAGTGCACATGCGGTAGGTCTCTGTGTGTGTGTGTTTATGTTGTTGTTTTTGTGTGGATGTGCATGTGCGCATCTCAGACATGTTATGACGGACGGACGTTACGCGGCGCGGTAAAATGTTGCATTCATTTGCATGCGGAAAATTGTGACACGATGTGAGGTGTTGCATGCCACCGGCTACATACCGCTATGCAAATAAATATATAAATACGGTACAATTAAATGTATGCCATTGACATGCTACATCAATGTGCACGCTTGCCATAAATTTGCATTAAAAAAAAAAACTAGAAAGTTTACACCTGCAACAAAAACAGCTGGCGGGTAGTAAAGCGAGCGCGAAAAATTTCATGAACTTTACAACACCAAATTCAATTACACGCTTGTAAACTATATAGTACTACCAACAACAACAAAATACTTAACATTCATGTATACAGTTGTATATTTATTAGACTGCCTCACCAACCATAAAAAAAACTCGGTTCTGCTTCGAAAGCGAATTATAGATTTATTTTATAAGTCCCAGCCAAATATTGTAAGTCGGCGTAATTCAGCGCAGTTCGTAAGATGTATCACGTTCAACATACAATAAAAATTGAATATGAAAACTTAATAAATGGGAATGGGAAAATAAAGCACTCTTAAACATCAAAACATTTGAAAAAAAAATATGGAATTTGACATAAGGGGCAATTCTCTTTGCAATTATTAAAATTTCGTTCGTTTGGTATCCCTCTTCGGAAATTCGGCAAAGTTATAACTTAACCCTCTAAAAAATATGACATATTTTTATCCAGGTCGTAAGCTATTTTTAAGCCGAGATTACTCTCACTCATTTAACTTATTAACTAACTAGGTTTTTTTATGAAAAAGATGGCAACTCTCTTAATGTTAATCCAGGTTATAACCTACATATAAGTGTGCTAAATTTGAATGAAATATATTCAATAGAGTGAAAAAGCAGCAAACATGCTCGCTAACTCACTCACTCACAAATTTTCACATGTATAACACAGTTAGCGACAAAAGTCTACGTACAGAGAATCTTTCGGAATGAATGCAGAGTTTTTTATGCAAAATTTTGTTTCGGTACTGTTTTTTTATTAAGTTTTCTAGAAAGATTTTGTGTATGCAGTTTTGAGGCGAATTAAACGCGCTTTTTTAACAAATTGAAACTTGCACTTTTTTTATCAAGAAAACTGAATACTTAAAATCTTTCTAGAAAATTTAACTAAAAAGTTGCAAGTTTGTATGGAATTTTATTGAATTTTCCTGAGTTATGTGCATAGTTTAGAAGTTTTATTTTTATGATTTTTGTTGTAGTAGGAACCATATTTTTAAAAATATTAGCGAAAAAATTTTATAAAAACTTTTTTTTTGCAAAATGTTGTGAAAAACAACAATAATATACATTTGATACATGTAAGTTATAGCTTCTATTTTGGAAATCATCATATCTTCTCATCAGACTTCTTCATCGAGTTCACTAGTTGTTTTTCCAAAAAAAAAATGCATTTAGAAAGATCTCAAGTTCAAGATAAATAAATAATATAAAAAAAAACTTTTTAATATACAACGCTTTTATAAATGGACTAAAAAGTAGAAAATAATATTTCTCAGTCCCATAGAATTTGTTTTGATAACTTTTGATTTTGAAATTTTAGCAAAAGTCATTATAAACAATCTATGAAATTGAAAATGGAAAACGTGGAGCGCATGCAATACAAAGCATTCGATTTAATTGACAATAGGCAAACTACATAACGTAGACCTAAAATTTCTACAGCGAAAGTAGAACTTTGAAATCGATTTTAAGCGGTCGTTATTCATATACCCACATACATACATTCATATATTACTTTTCATATCAATTCAAGTGTATTACATGCGCCCCACGCTTTTCATTTTCAATTTCATAGATTGTTTATAATGACTTTTGCTAAAATTTCAAAATCAAAAGTTATCAAAACAAATTCTATGGGACTGAGAAATATTATTTTCTACTTTTTAGTCCATTTATAAAAGCGTTGTATATTAAAAAGTTTTTTTATATTATTTATTTTCTACTTTTTAATCCTGTCTGAATAAAATTTTGCAATAGATATTAAAATAATTCAACGATATTAATAGAAAGGTGCACACACATGCATTTACATATGTATGTACATACAAACGAGCACCAATTAATTTTATTTAAAGAAATGGCGTGTCGTCTATTTCCGCTGTAGCAAACGTAGTATATAGGGCGACATCTAGATGTCATCTACCTCGCCCTATTCACTACAGATGTCGCCCTATGCACTATGCTTTTTTATAGGAACTTTTCAAAGCAAAGGTTTTATGGTGTCGGACACACAACATTGAAAGTTTCTGGATCCACAACATTGAAAGTTTCTGGACACACAACATTGCAAGTTGATAAAAGCGTTGTAATGTAAAATTGTTGAATATAATTTAAGATTTTTTGAAAATTGGAGCGGCTCATTTAATAGTAGTTCATAATTTTGACACATGCTTCATGAATAAGATTTGTGGAAATAATGTCTGAACTTACTTTTATTTACAAAGAATCGATCGAATGTATTTAGTAATTTCTTCGCATAACATCCATGGGATATATCTCACGATTCCGTGGTTGTCGAACTTTCGGTTTTTTGTGATGAAAGGGTTTTGCTTTTATGCATGAGGCCAGCATTTTTTTCACGGGCATCCTAATATTTGCAATATATTATATAGTATGTTTGTATAAAGGTACAAAACTCATATGAAAGCAAAATAGAAAATTCGTTAAGGAAATATGCAAGAAAAAATACAGATGTACAATTTTCAATTATTACACGCTGTTGCATGCAGCATTCATTTATTTGCAAATAATATTTTCACGCTCCTGATTGGGACGTATGCATACGATTTTGTAGTTACTACATATTTACACAATTTTTTCATCACCTTATTGATAAATACAAAGTTACACTCAATTAAAATCTGTGAATTTAAATCATTGTTTGAAAATCGTTTGACTGTAAATTGCAAAATGATTATAGGCATTTATCATGAAAGCGCTAATTTCTAGGCCAAACAGTCGTAAATTCTGCGGCTGATTTAGTAGTTCTTATAAAAAGCTGAAAGGATGAAAATTAAAAGCACAAAAACCATTTTGTGGTTAAAACTTATTTTCCACAAATATTCATTTAAATCAATATAGTAACTAACATATATATACATTTATTTACTGAGTTATAAAGCTAATAACTGATTATTAATTAATTAGCCAATCAATTTTGATGGAATGGATTTTTTTCATATGGATAAAAGAAAAAATTCGTATTTACTGCAATTCAAGGCAAAATTAAATTATCGCTACATTTTATTATGAATGGCTGAGTATGGAAAGTGAATGAAGGCCCGTTAATTGCCAATGTGACTGTACTGGATGAATGGTTTAGAAGGCTTTTGGAATCAAAATTCTTCTGAGGCTAACAAAATTACTAATTCTTTAACTCATATGTTTATATAAACAAACACCCTCGGAGGGGGAGAGTATCGAATACATTCTAGTCAAAAAACAGCTCCTATGTATAAGAAGAAGTCGATTTACAAGCATATGTATGCACATTAGGGTGGTCCAAAAAGAATGAAGTCGGAATTTTAAAGCTCTCGCCCCCTAGAATTGTTCTATATCAAAAAAGTATACCCCTATTTTTTATTTAAGAATAAAAAATAAGGGTATATTTTTGGTATAGAAGAATCCTAGGGGGTGAGAGCATAAAAATTCCGACTTTACTTTTTCACATGCATTTTTGGACCACCCTGATGCACATGCTATACCGGTTTACTAAACACATAAACTGAGGCGACCTACACACTTGAGCGAAAGGCTTTACTCAACTTAAAATATTTTGCACAAATATACCAGGTAGAAGAAAAATAGCTAGGGAAAATTTTCTAAGTAGATAAATTAATAAAAAAAAAAACAGATAGGTCTCAGTCTAACGTTTAATACTAGTGGTGTGCAATATTTTTATTTTAATTGGCATTTGCCTGCCACCATAAAAGTTCTATTACAATATTAAACTTTATATTTTGTCTTTGCACTAAGGATCTTTTTTGATATAATTTTTTTTATTTTTCCAGTTGCAGCTGAATACTCCCGGAGTAAATGGCTGCCATTTAATGTCTACCTCACCCACGCACACATACGAAGTGCAAGAAGACATCGATGCGGCGCTATTGATTAGTCACTCGGTAGCATCTCAAGAGGCAAACATTCGGTAAGTAAATATTTTGTAAGGAAATCTAATTTTTATTGTTTGCGACTAAATACACGGATATGGTGTCAAGAAAACGCCATTTGTTAAAATGCAATGCTTACACTAGTTACCCTAGTCAATATAGTGTTTATTAGAGTCAATTCAGGGGGAAAGTGAAGAGCTCTTCCGATCACATAACTTAGTCATCAAACTCATCATAATAATTATGTTTATTAAGCACATTTACAAAAATATGTTTTTCCGGTTTAGAGTTCATTCCACCAAGCCTTAACTGCAGTTAACACCTATTGGAATAATTAGATTATTACTCGAAGGAGGTAATTGCTTATATTAAGTAGAAACAGTCAAAGGCAAGAAAGCAAAAATTAAGAAATAAACTTTTCTGATCCCCAATATTAAAGTTCTTTGAATTTACCTGAGCTCTTAACTGCCGTTAAGCTCTTGGTGGAAATGGGCTATTAGTCTGATCTCTGTTTGAGGAAACGCATCCAGCGGTTCAATTGCTATCCTTGTAAAGAATTGTTTTGGTGTTGCCAAATAAATCTGTTCAAGGCAAACTTTGCTAGTACCAGTACAATCTAAATGATTCAACATTTTTCAACTTACAAACCTATCTAGTGACGACAGGGTAGGTATCTACACCTAGGTAAAGTTTAGTTTTTATACACAGTAGTTCCAATAATTTATCATTAACAGGACATTTTTTGTACTGCCAATAAAACCTAAATAAACGAACTTAGACGGAATTAGGGAGTTGCATGGAAAATTTCCAATAAGACATCAAAGCATGTATATTATGGCGGGTCAATTTGTATGGGAGACTTTTTCGACTATGCGCGTATGGCACAGAAGGATTCTACGTTAAATATTAAGCAAATTTGTCGAAAAAACCATGGGCATAAAATTAATTTAGAACTATAGAAAAGTCTCTCTTCTGTATACGATTATCAAGTTTTTATAAGCAGTTTTTTTTACAATACATTCCAAATAAGTCAACAGTAAAAACAAATATTTTTAGAGCGAGCTTTCTAAATGTGAACCAAATCGGACTATAAATACGGGTTTTCCAAATATCTCGACTCCTGCGCCGCCTATCGGATTAACTCATCTTTCGTATTGCATTATCATCGGGTTCTGAGCCGACTGTGAAGTTTCAATTCTCTAGGTCACCGGGAAGTTGGTCAAAAATTGATTGCAACATTTGCCCCTAACAAACATACTTACATACATACATACGTACATACAGAGCAAATAGTAAATTCTGAGTGAATATACTTTAGAAGAATGTATCTAATATTTCTCTGAAATAATTCGTTGCATTTTTTCAATAAAAATTAAATTTAAATTGCGCACTAAGCGCCAAGCTAAGTTGCCAAAAACCATAAAATAGCCATCAAAATGCCGCAAGTATGCCTCGCCTCAATTTTATAGACGAAAGTGTGTCTGGCAAGTTAATATTAACATTTGTGGCTGTTGAAAGCAAAAAATTTATACAAGTTCGAATATATGTTGCTATATTAAGAGACTAACAACAATTTAGTGTAATTACTTAATTAAAATTGTTATTTGACATAAAATTTTTAATGTATGTACTATATCCTCTTGGTGGGCAAATGCGCGTGTTCATTGCAAAACCGGACATTTAAACTATTGTACAATTAATGATATGTACCTGATTTTTGTACTCTAACTATTCAATGTTAGCGAATACAAAAATTGTTTAAAACATTCTCAACTTAATTTATTTAATTGTCAAATTTTTCATATCTAATCAACTTGTACCTGTTTGAAATATTTAACCGATTATATTTATGTGCACACATATCGCACACCCTCTTCAAAATGAGCACAACTCACAAAAAATTCATTTTCGAATTGTTAACCAAAAAAATGTTGTCAGATTTTAATTACAATTTAAATTAACGATAAAATAGGCAAAATATAGGCTGTAAGTTAAGATAATGTTATTGCTTTCGAAAAGTTTACTTTAAGGTCGTAGAGTGACCGGCGGAGTTTAATCCTGACTATAAATAATTAATTAGAACATGTAATATTTCGATTTATTTAAAAAAAATATTATAAGAGGGTTGCCACCTGCTCAAATTGTTCAAATCTTTTTAAGAAATTAAATCAAATATATTCATACTGGTATCTAACGAGAAAGATTTCAGAAAGTTTTTTTTTTCAAAAATATATATTTTTTTAAAATTTCAAAATCAATTTATTTAACAAATCAAAATGAAATTTTTAGCTTTAAAAAAACTGTATTTCAAAATTATTTTTTGAAAAAGGTTCCCAACTGTTTAGAAGTTCAAAGTGAATTTAATTAACAAGTTAGATTAAAAATTTTAACATAGGTATCAAAGGAGATATTTTAGAAAGCTTCGTTTTGAATATATTTCTGAAGAAGGTGGTTGCCACCTGTTCGAGGTTTAGATATTGAAAATAAATTTAATTAAAAAATTAAATTAAATATTTTTATGTGATTGACATATTAAGAAAAATAGCTCAATAAAAAATATATCCCTATGTGCCCTCCTTGGTCGATATATTTCGGAAACCGGCATTTATGATCTGATATAGGTTATACGAGTATTTTTTCCGATAGATAGCGCATAATTCGATATATTTGGGAAACCCGTATTTATGGTCCGATTTGTAAGTTAAAAACAGTTTGTAGAAATTAAAATTACGTAGAGTTACATTGATAAAATTTTATGGATATGCCGTACACACATAAAAGGTAGTAAAGACTTAATTACAGCCAGCATTATAATAATTGGTCGGCCGCTGTGGTGTAGTGGTAAGCAGTGTGCGCTTTCACTCATCAGCACCCAGGTTCAAGCCCTGGTCAAAGCAACATCGCAAAAATATAGAAAAAGGTTTTTTCTTAACAGCGGTCGTCCCTCGGCAGGCAATGGCAAACCTCCGAGTGTATTTCTGCCATGAAAAACAGCTTCTCATAAAAATACAATCGCCGTTCGGAGTCGGCGTAAAACTGTAGGTCCCTCGCCTTTGTGCAATGACATCAAGCCGCACGCCAAAAATCGGGGGAGAAGCTCGGCCAAACACTAACATATGTGTAAGCGCCAATTATTATTATTATAATAATTGGTTAGTTGATTTTAGAAAAGCAGTGCATTTTTTATTTGTCTTAATCTAATAGAGAGAGAGTTCCAAAGACGTATAGAAAACACCAGAAATTGACGTCCAGAGAAAAGGGTGCGATGTTTGATATGCACAAAAAATCACAAAAAAATTTGTCATTCGCCCATAGTAAAGCCATTGAAACCAAAAGTAAAAAAGCGAACCGGTTCGGGGAAAATGGAATTCATGATAAGGCTGAATGTAAAACTTTGATTCTGGGATATATAAAGACAACTAACGACCCCGTAAATTTATAGGATTATCATATGATCGCAACAGTCAGATATAAACTAAAAAAAAATATCCGGAAGTATATTACCCACAATCATCTGTTAAATCCTTTCCAAATTTTGCTTTATATTAATTTGTTTTTATTCAAGACAGTAATTTAATTTACACTTTTTGCTCTCATTTGCTACATTTGCGGACATTTTGCCGTCACCTAATCACTTTCATCGGCCAAACGCCTAATATAACCACCACAACACCGGCATAACCACCCAATGTCATTGCGCTTCATGCAAACAAACTAACTTCAATGCATTTCGCATCACATCACGAACATGCAACATTAACCTGCCACACGCGCTACATTTCGCTCATCATTTTCCAACTTCACCAAAGCGCAGCAAAGAAAATGGTTTTATGCCACCAACCACAGCTACTATATCAGCTAACAACAATACTAAAGTGTGCGACAACATTCTTTCACAGCAATCACCAGATTTGATACAAAAACAACAGCGAGACTCCACGGCAGGTGATCTTCAACTCGAGACAGCGGCGACATTTCAGTTCACATCGCCAACTGCAACGTTTAAGCGTAAAAAGCAACAACAACAACAACAGTTGCAACATCAACAAATTGAATACCAACTACGCCATAACAACAATAACTGTTTCAGCACTCAAACAGTAGTAGCAACATTAATTAATAATTCGCTACATACAGAACAACAACAACAACAAAAACAACGAGATTCAAAATCACCTTCCCGTAACAGCATTGGCGGCAATAACTTGCAACATGCAGCTACGGTGAGCACATCGATTTTGGGGAATGGTGGCGGTCCGACGACAACAACAACAATAACAAAAGAAACGCAAAAAGCAAAAACAACGATTGTTGACAGCATTCTAGGACTTGCCACAGGTGCTAGCAGTGTTGGCGCTGCTGGTGCTGCTGTTAGACACATTGAAAGTAGTACAACAACCACACGCTCGCCACGCAATCGCACTTTGCCACGAGTTGCCACAACAACAACAACGCCGCGTGCTGCTTATGCCGCTGACAGTGTCGATTTAGTGGGCAGCCACACAAGCAAAGCTTCGCCAGTGGTGGTGGTTGCAAATTCACAACAGAACGGACACGACAAGCGACAACGCGCCACAATCAAGGTGAAGCAGGCACAACGTCAATATCAACAACAACAACAAGAGAAAACACTACAACAACAAGCGCTGCCAAAGAGAATGCCCAAAGGTGCTGCTGTTACTGGCAGTGCAAGTGCAAGTGCAAGTGCAAGTGCGAGTGCGAGTGCGAGTGGCAATAGCAGCAATCACAGCAATAATAATAACAACAACAACACACTATACAAAGGTAACAACGATTTCATGGATAGCCTGGGTGCGCATTTGGAGTTGGTGGGTTGGCGCAAGAAATGCCTTTATGGACTGCTCGTACTGCTGATGCTGCTCATCATCACCAATTTGGTGTTGACGCTGTGGATACTGAAGGTGATGGAATTCACGACGGTGAGTGTGGCACACAAGTATACAAATGTATACATATATTTTGTACATTTTACAACAACCAAAATTCACTTATTGTACAGTGCAGTGGTTTGTTTGTTGTCAGCAGGTCGAGGTTTGCAACTTTTCATGGCAGTAGAAACGACCAGTTGACATCACTCATACGCCGCGGTCACCTTTATACATATTTTACATAGCTACATACATACATACGTACATACATACATACATATATGGCATACGCCTCATTACCTAGCTCAATTGTTGTTAATTGACCTTCAATGGTTTTTGTCTTATCATCATTGCAGGATGGCATGGGGCACCTGAAGATAGTGCCAGGCGGCATACAACTCACCGGTCAAGCGCTCATAATGGACATGCTGCGCGCATCGACAATACGCTCTAGGCACGGGCAACCAATTGCGATAGGTGAGTACAGGCGATAAAGCAAGCAATGTGCTACAGGGTGATAAATGTACCAATAATCACATAAATGGTGTTTGTAAATAAGTATCTGTACATATATATATATATATATATATATGCATGTGCACAGTGGCGTAGCCAGTATTTCGGGAAAGGGGCGCTGATTAACAATTTTCACCGATAATCTAAAGGATTAGCAATTCTTAGTGCTATGTATTTTTTGTCCACTCGCGTATTCCTTTTTTCTCTGGTTTTTGAACTCTGCCAGTTGTACGGGGAAATTTTGTTAAGAGAATATATTCCCTGATTTAGTTAAAAAGCCTGCTAACACTAGTATTTTTAGACCGTCTAAATTCGGCTTTCTAAGGGCGGAAGAGGGAAGGTAGTAGAATTTTATCTCAGCAATTCCAGGTCACGAAAATTGCGGTATGACTTGGGTCTGATTCCCACAGCAGTGTTGCCGTTGTGCGATTAAAGTCGCAACTTGCAGCCCAATTCTGAGATAAGGCGTTCTTCAGCCATTTTTTGAGATAGGGCGTTTTCAAATCGGCGGCCAACAAATGGCATTATGCAGTAATATATCGACTGCTGAGTAAAAGGTCTATCAATCTCGGCAGCCAATACAAAAATACTCTATCTCAGAAAACTTTTCAAGGAAGCCCTATTTCAGAATTTGGTTGAAGAACATTTTACCACCAGTTCATATACCATTGCGACTTTGTGAGTCATTTGAGTCAGTGACTTACATAATCGTGGTGCAATGGTCTGTTTTCCAGCATTATTTTCTCTTGGAAAATTTTTTACCAAAGCATGCATAATCCAATAACTGATGATCCCAAATATTAATAAAAATGTATTCGTCATTAATCTACCATAAAGAAAGTTATAAATTAGAAGGATAAACTCAAGAGTAAATAATAGTAGTTTATTGACGAAGGAGAGATACATCAATCCCCTTGGCTCCGCAACTGTATGTACAAATGTATATGTGAGCTCTTATTTGTATGTGGATGATATGCAAATTTGCGTTTGCTTGTGATTTGCAGCAATTTGTATGCCGCCAGCATGACAAATAATCGCACAAATATGTATGTAAACATATACATATGTGTGTACATATGTATGTAAGTATGCATATGAATAAATCTGCATAAATATTTGTAAACATTTAGTCGGATAATGTTTGTCTGATAACGTCACGGCAAGATAAGATATTTACGCACGTAATTTATTATGGTGATGTCCCTATTAATATTCATTTTGCATAAATTTCCAAATGTTGAGACTATGCTGCTAAATGCCTATTGCCAAAACATATTCATTTGATTACGATGCTTTAAATAGAATTTTGTTACTAGGTAATAATTGCATTCATGAAAAACGTACATACATACATACAGACTTATAGCAGCACCTATGTGGGAAGTTTTCTGTGGCCTTAATTGTTTGTCATCGTTTGATTTATTTGCTTTGTATTATTCATTATATCAAGTCATCGAGTAATATATGACACATATGTACATATGTACATACGTACATACTTATTATGCACTCTTTAAACTTTAGAAACTTCCTATTTTAAATAGTTAGCAAGTAATTTAAAACTTTTTTAAGGCAAGCTTTTATTAGTGGTTAATAAAGAAAATCGACCCCCGCATCACCTGGCGGCAAATTTTTTGTTAAGTTATTTCTTTCTATTTAAGACATACTAAGTGTACCAGTTACTGTTGAAAAACGACCGTTTTTTTCGTTTTTTAAGACCTTTGGATAACCCAAAAAATTCGATAACTCGACCAATTTCGATAACTGCGCGTTTCGAGGGCTTGATCCATTTCGATAACTCTAAAATGTATATCGACATAAATCGATAAACTTCGGATATCCATCTCTATAAATTACGATAATTCGATTAATTTTGATAGCTCTATATCGACTAATTTCGATAACTCATTACTGTGTGGTAAATCGATGGTGTCTAGTTATAAGATGTAGCAAATTTCTTAATTTCTTCCTTGATAGTGGCGATTTTAATTAAGGTGCGTTAACAATCATTCTACGAGTGTTCGATTGGAATATTTGTAGCATTTCAATACTTATTTTAGTTTGCTGCGGTGCCCCACAGCTGAATACCGTAGGTCCATATCGTTGATAGTTGGGAGTTTTGGGCGGAGGTTCGGGCAAAAATTTTTTTTTTAGTTTCACTTTTATTTTGACGTATTTTGATTAAAACAAACATACTGATAAAAATAAAATATATCACACAAACAGCAAAAAATATAATCGTTAATTGCATGAGGCTATTGCCTGAAAATTTTAAAATGCGCTTAGTGGCATTGTGCTACTATGATAGCACGGCCGAGTAATCATAGTCAACTTATGTACAGTAGTCGAACAAATTATAGCCGCACCAAATTTTCATAATTCTTAAAATGTTGTTTTTGCTTTTACTTAATTTTGTTTATTTTTCTGTAGTTCATTATTTAAAAACATCCGTATAAATACAAGTTTAAAGGCAGTGTCACACGATTGGATATTTCCCAAAATTTGGTGCAAATCGTATCCCAATTGTTTGAACACCCAAAATATTTTTAATTTTTATCCCAATCACGAAAATTAATTTGTTGAAATTTTTCAATATAACATCGCCGTATTGTACCAATCTTTTGAATACAAAAAAAAAATTTTACCATTTTTTTATTTACCAATACACATAAAAAATGTACAAATCTGTACAAATCGAGTGACACTGCCTTACAAATTTATGCAATTAAAAAAAAAATCAACAAATTTTTGTTAAAATTTCAAGTTTTTTAATTAAATTCTGAGTATGCAGTTTTGTAGCCCATTGAATTCTAGTAGAATAAGGTACAACCCACCAAACAATTTGTGTTGCCGGTAATAAGAAAACGTGTCGCCCTCGGAAACAAATTTATTGCCGGTAATATTGCCATCGAATCGATTTCCTATTACTGGTCGCTCTAAAACGTCCGCCGAAGGCAACTCGCCTGGGCGAGTCGTTTTCTTATTACCTGAATGAGTCCTTTTCTTATCGCTTCAGGCGATATTTGGAATAACTTTATTCTTTTTAATACCTCATTTATTTTTTTGTATACCAAATTGCAACTTACAATCGGAATTAATTCATTTTCTCGCTGTGAGACTTCCTATTTTTTCAATCTTGTCCTTGGGCATAATTTAGACGCTTTTGGCCAATACTATTGACGCCATATTCATAAGTTTCGGAATTTTTGAGAACTTTTTTATTCAAAATTGACATGAACGAAGTGATGTTGCCGATTTGTCACCACAGCAATAAATCGGTGAGTCGCCAATTTGTTGCCATTGACGATTGTTGCCTATTTCTCATGTTTTGCATGGTGGGAAGTTTCGAACGGATAAAAATTACGATTGATTTTTAAAAATTTTTAAAAAGGTTCGAAATTTGTACGAAAGTTTGTTGAATTTTTTTTTTTAATATTGCACAATTTTTGAAACTTGCGCGGGTTATGTTAAAGAATGAACTACATTTTTATAAAAAAAAAATAACAAAAATTCAATAACAACAAAAAAATACGTTAAAACTTGGTTCGGCTATAATTTTTTGACCTCCGTATCAATTTTTGGATCGGAACACCTACAACCGCACCAAATGGACGAATATTTTAAATTAAAAAAGTAACCCCCCACCAGAAGCGGAATATTTCATTTGTACGAAAACATGACCATGAAAAAAAAAGCGCAAAAAATAGGAAATTGTGATAGTGCAAGAAAAATTTTATAACTTACCAAGAAATAAATCTTTTTGCACTCAACGCAATGCAAAGATTAAAATAGGTACATATGTACTTATGTGTGTATGTTTGCGAAGAAGAAGAAGAAGAAGAAAGACGGTGCTGTCGACCGCAACGCACGAATAAATTTTCTAACAACTAAATATGTATTTTCTGGTATGTGTGTCACCACTAAAGATGTATGTAGATATGTATGTGAGTATGTCTACGCGATGACTGCGATGCACAATTACAGATAATAGTAGAGAAAGACAGATGGGATTTTTACCTAATGACAACGTTAAGGTATGAAAAGTCGACGGCGGTAAACCAAACGGTGGAACCTCAACGCAGATAAAATGGACAGATGAAATGGGTGGGGGGCGGCAATTTCAGCTGAGTGGCTTGACAGCGTGCCGTAGTACATTGCTACATCGTTTTACTACACGTTCGCTAGTCGGGCAGTTGTGTTCGTAGTTAGTAGTAGCAAAAAGGTGAAGTAAATTTCGTACGCTCTGTGCGCTGGCAAAGTCGTCGACGCCTTGGTTGACTGGCTGCGTGGCCGTGAGTTGCGCTGAAACGTGCGAGCAAAAATTTTATTTCCGTTTCCGCTATCATGTCACACTAATCTTGCGGTCTGGTCTGCACGCTTATTTGTAAGAAAGTAGATATCATACTTATTTTGCGCTATTTTTTTTTTTTTTTTTTTTGAAGAGTATGTTTCTGGCATTGTGCGCAGAACAGATTGGCATTCAGCCTGATAGTATAACATTTGTTATTTGGTGGTTTTGGGTCGCAATGCGTACGTGCATCCACTCGCCTTTTATTTATTGCTATTTATATTACACAAATTTAGTTGACATTTGTATATTTGCTGTTCGCACTATCTAAACTTACAAATCTTATTCATATTTATACATATATTTTCGGTGCACCCGGATGGATGTCATCATCTATGCCGTAATTCACATTGACTACCGAAACTGAAACTGAAACCAAAATCAACCAACGAACATCGAATCGCCGATCAAACAACAACTAATCAAAAACAAACAAAAACTATGCGGCAACAAACGTCAAACATCGACAACATATTCCCCCACACCTACAACCCAAATGGGATTTGTCGCGACAACTCCGACCGTTTCTGCTGCTGCTGCTGCTGTGGTTACCAAATTCGCTGCGCGCCTCACCTTGCGGCAACCAAATATCATCAACAGAATCATCACGTAATTTTTCAATCAATACACGTGACGCGAATGGCATGCTGGAGAATCATTTATTTCTTGGGCACGATAAGCTCGAGTGCATAGCGAAGGAAATTCGCATCAATGATACCAATGGACGAAATTTATTTTCTGTAAATCAAAATGAAGTCACAATCGGTGCACACGCGTTGCGAATTGACGGTGAAGGTGGCGCCATATTTCGGGAATCCATACAAACGCCACATATACGCGCCGAACCGGCGCGCGAGCTGAGGTGAGTAGATATGCGGAGCAGGGGGAAACTTTGAGAAATTAAAAAAAAAGAAAATCTATCAGGGAATGTAGCTGCAACTGGTCAGATTTTTAAGTTTTTTCAGGGTTTAGTTAAATTCTTAAAAATTGTATTTCGTGCAGTAAATATGAACAAATGAACAAATGTAATGTTATTCAGTAACTATATAACATACATATGTGGACATAACGTATTAACATTATTGCTATTTACACTAGAGTGGTGCAAAATTACACAGAAATATAAAATTGTTGGAATTTTGTTCCTGCCACGTCAGAGGTTGTCATATTCCAGATTTTGGTGGAGACAATTATTGTCACTGGAGGTATAAACGTCTAAGCATAGTTATATGTGAGCAATCACATAGTATATTGAGGCTACCTCTGCCAGCCCACAGAACCTCCCGTCCGTCTCATTAAAAAGTTCCATCATACACAGGGCGATGGTCTAACCTCCTTACTATGGTTAAATAGTCGTTAAGAGACGTGGGTCCCGTGTAGACATTGAATGGACCGCAAAAAGGCCGAGGATGGTTGTTTTTCGTTTAAATCGATAGTGTTTATGCTATTTTTTATGTCCTCCGATTATCCATGCCAACGATCTACTCATCGCTGTCGTAAGGAGATTCATCTCGAGAGTCAGTGGGATACTAAAATCTGCACTTAACTGCACTGATCTGGAAAGGTGGGCAGAAAGGACCGGTCAAAGGGGCTCCTACCACAAATGAGTTAGTTCAGTTCCCGATAGTGATGTGCGGATCCGAGGATTTAAAGAACCGGTTTGGTCAAGTCCGGTTCCAAAAAGTGGTAACGGAAATAAACCCTATCAAAGTAGCTCAAAAAATATTATAAACAGTTTTTACGAAAATTTAATTTAACAACTTTGTATCGGCTCAAGAATTTTACATTCACGCAATTAAATAATTTACTGTAAACATTCGTATCGTCCACAACAAACATACACTTTGTTATCATTCGAGCACAGACTACAAAATGAACCAACAGACAGAAAGTCTGCAGCTGCTGCGAGCGGCTGCATAAAGCAAATTTGTAGTTTATTCGTCTGTTTTTTTGAAATCATTTTTGCTTCTTTCGGGCCGATTTTCGGTTCTCTAGGTTCTTTTAGAATTGTTTTTCAGTTTTTTTTTTACTTATTTTTTTCTAAGGCCAGTTTTCGGCCCATCTTGACCGTTTTCTTAAAATTGTTCTTCAGAACGGAATCGATTTTCGAGCGTCTTGGAATCGAGTTTCCTTTATACCCTTCTAAGGCGGTTAATTAAAGTACCCGGTTCTCCGGGTCCAGTTCCTCGGCTCTCTGCGATGACCAACTCGATATGCATTTCACTGTGCTGAACATCCCCACAAACCCTTCGGCAGCACATATGTAGTCAATCTCTATTGGGTGCCGTGGAATAGTGCCATTCCGCGAAAAGAGGTATCAAATAAGTACGCGAGAAAGGTGTCTGAGATAGAAGAATTAGTTCAAATCGTACAACCTCTTTTCTGGTTCATAATATTTTCCCTAGTTAAGGAGGGGTTTACAGCAACTGTTCGGTTTTTTAACGCTATATTAACGATACTGGACCATGGCATGACTACCTATGCGATGAAAGCACTAAAAATTTCTGGAGCATAACTTCTTTGGCATCGAAAAAAAAATAGAAAAAAGGTTTTTTCTTAACAGCGGTCGTCCCTCGGCAGGTACTGACAAACCTCCGACTGTATTTCTGCCATGAAAAACAGCTTCTCATAAAAATACTATCGCCGTTCAGAGTCGGCATACAACTGTAGCTCCCTCCACTTTGTGTGACAACATCAAGGCGCACGCCACAAATCAGAGAAGAAGCTCGGCCAAATACTAACATATGTGTAAGCGCCAATCTGTTATTATTATTATTATTAAGGCTGTACTCTTGAGACCTTTCTTCGAAATTAAGTTATAAACTTATATTTTCAATTTAAAATAATCGGTGGCCATATTCAATATATTGATATATGAACTTTATCTTGGAGGAGTGACTAACTTTCAATGAAATCAAACAGCCCTTAACCACTCCTAGGCAAGTAGTTTGTCTAAATTATTTTGGAATGTACATATATTTATATTATACGAGAATTCGTAAGGATACCAGGAATTGATTTATTCTGATGTATTTTGGAATAAGTTTTCGCCTTCGCTTGCCAAAGCTTTCATGATGTTGTCAGAGTTGTAACGTTGAACGCTTGCATATAAACAAGAATATAGAAAAACACCACTCACGCTTTTAGGGAAAAATTCTCACTAAAGTAAATGAGAAAACGAAAGAAAATTGGGTCATTCCTTGGAAATATATACGAACAAACATAGAGATAAATACATAAGTGTGCTTTGGGAGGTATGCGCCTGCATTACGGGTGTCCTTTGAACAATCACAACTGTTTGCGATGGACGATTTTTCAGTGCATGAATTACGACGGCAAACATATGCCGTATGACACAGGCCACGGAAGCCTGCTAGAAATGCATTGGAGAACGTCCAAGCAAAGGCAGTGCACCCACCAAGTGTTGACTATATTGAAAAACGCTGAAGGCGCGACAGACAAATAGGCTCAGCGTGCATCCACATGCGCCATCATTTACCACTATGTGTGCACCCTCGTGGATGTATTTGCTTGAGTGTGGAAAATAAATTGACGGCCAGTTGCGAATTGCAATGACTGGAAATATTGGATCGTTGGTCACGCTGCATCTGCGTCTTCAACAGGCGGCACTCACTGATTTACAGGTGTAGTTAGGTATGTATGTGTTTGCCTGTGGCTGAGCATACATACATTTTGAGGACTTGAATGAAGCAGCTGAACAATTCAATAACTCGCATTTTTGCTATCAAATGGAATGTGTATAAAATGTGAAAAATATTTGATCACATATTTTTATGCAAACAGAAATGTTGGCATTCGTAACTTTGATGGCGACGAAAAATATAAATGAATTGTAAACGAACTAAGGGAAGTGGGAGTATATTGTAGAAAATTGTACACTGTTTTATGTAGAGAGAAATTTTTAAAACAAAAATCATCAGTTTATCCTTGGGCAAGTTGTGGCAAGTCTATAAATATCTCTTCTGGTTGTACGCCCCTATTAGGCTTTTGACTTGGCGAAGTCCAATGGTGCTTCGCCAGTTCTGTTCTCTAATTATTATTGTTTCTTCTCTGAGCTCTTCCCTAATGGTGTTGAAACCTACCACGGGGTATTTTTCGGAACCGGTGGAGTGGAGTTTACTGCTTCCCTAGCTAATCCACCCGCTACCTCATTTGCAAGCACTATGCCTGTACATATTCCTCCAAAATAGAATTGTTGCAAGTTGCTTTGCAGCTAAGCTTTATTTTGAATCTCCTCTCGAAAACAACTGCCTTGTGGAGGATTTCATCTCCGGGGAAAAGAGCTAGACGGTGAGAATCAGCCCCAGGCTTTCGTCGGGTATATACGCATCTCATCCGTGAATCTTGGCTAATATTTAATATTTATACCTCTGGCCAGCTTAGATTCAAAACGTTTTGTCGCGGTAAAATAGCTTGCTTCCACAGCTGTGATCTGTGAGGGGTCTTTTATCGATAATAAAAAGGTTAGCGGGTGGAACAAGGAGTCTTGAAGCTCACCTTTGGCTAGTTAATCGTTTAGATATTATTTTGGAACAAAATTAAATATTGCTTTAAAAAGGAAATGGCCTAACTCTAGATAAGTCGTTTTATGCAAATGCCACAGATATATCTATTGGGTCCCAGAACACAAGGGTGTTGAAGATAACGAAAACGTAAGTAACCATTGCGCTCTTCTAGACCTTTCACTAGCGACGGACGTTCAAATTCCTATACAGAGGAAATCAAACGGTCCGTAATTTTCTCATATACTGTCAAGCACAGAGAGCTTGAAAACGTGCACAGGGCTGCAGATTTACGAAAACTGTGTGTAGATCGTAGTGCTATAGAAACCTTCATGTTAACTTTTTTATTTAAGGCAATAACTCTTATTTTTAGTCCCAGACATACACACATATATATATGTATGTACATTAGGGTGTCCACCAAAAAGCCGAAATTATAGAAATAACTATATTTTAAGACTTTTATCAAAACATTTCGGGAAACCAATAAGATTTACCTGAGCTTGACCGATCTGAAAATACCTCAGAAAATCACATTACTTTGATTCCGTTGACAAAATTTTTGCGCAGAAATTCCAAGCTTAAGCTCTTCTTTCGTGTTTTTGTTGTTGTTTTTTTTTTTTTGAAAAAATAGTTTTTAAAACTAATGGTATTTTTATAAAAGCCTTGATTTTTAGAGTTATTTTCAAAATTCAGCTCACGTAAATCTTAATATGTTTAATCGCAGAACTTTGGACCACGTTGACCGATTTTTTAAGGAAATATGGTACTTCAGAGGGCATCTCATACTAATTTGGTTTATATCCGATCATTGGATCATTAAGAAATTAGCGGTACTCTTAAATTTTTTATAGGAATTGAAGTCAGTTTCTTTTTTGCTTACTTTTCTGACACCTTTTTCGATATGGACAGTGACGCATCCTAATGTGCATAATTTTTTTTATTTTTTTTTTATTTCTTTCGGTCTTTACAAATACCTCATTTTATTCAATTTGCTATAGACTGGAATCTCCAACACGTCAGCTGGAACTGACTGCAGCAAAGGATATAAATTTGCAATCGCGTGCCGGAGCAATCGAAGTGACTGCGCTAAAGGATGTACGACTGAGTGCGCTGGATGGCAGTGTAAGTATATAGTAGTAACACAGATACACATACACATGTATGTACAGTATTGGCCAATACAATAGCACCTCCATTTCAAAGTCATATTGTTTGCCACTAATGTTTATTTATTTATTTTTAAGAATTTTCAATTAAAATACAGTTCATTCTCTGACAAAACTCACATAAACTTAAGTTTAAAACTTTTTAAAAGTCCGCAAAAAAGTGCAACAAATTTTCACCCAAATTTCAAACTTTTTTCTCAGAAGCGGTAGAATTTTTTTGAATACACAGTTTTATAGCCCATTCGATTTTAGTCTAATAATGTGCAAGTTTCAAGTGGCTAAAAATTACCGTTGATTTTATAGATTTTTTTTCGCCGAGGATGTTGCGGGTTTCCGCCATATAAAAATAAATTGTGTTTAGTCCATATATGGAAGCAAATGAGACAAAAAAAATTCTAAAAAATCAACGGTAATCTTTAGCGACTTGAAACTTGCACATTATTGGACTAAAATTGAATGCGCTATAAAACTGTGTACTCAAAAAAATTCTAGAGCTTCTGAGAAAAAAGTTTGAAATTTAAGGGAAAGTTTGTTGCGCTTTTTTGCGGTCTTTTAAAAAGTTTAAAACATGGGTTTATATGGGTTTTGTTAGAGAATGAACTGTATTTTAATTGAAAATTCTTAAAAACAAATAACTAAACATAAGTGGCAAACAATATCGCTTTGAAAGGGGGGTGCTATAGATATGTCCAATACTGTATGTGCACTAGTACATACCGTTACTTTAATATTAAAAAAAATAACCTAAGTAATGTTTCTTCAAAATCAAGCTTTTTTACAAAAATCGGGTCGATTTTCAAGAGCATTTAATAAAATACAAGGTTACAAAATATTTTAACCACTCCGTCCAAACAAATTGCAGACAATGTTACTTATATATTAAGTTTAAGATATAATAGTTTTCAATTTGTTGAAGAGCTTAATTTTCAGCTAAAATTAAAAAGATTAGGAATTACCTTAGTCATAGCATTCAAACCAGAGGGGCTCTCTTCGAAGCTTATCAAGAGTTCAACTATTTACTTTTTTAATTTTAATTTTACTTTTCCGTTATCTTTCTCCTTTCCCTCTTCTCTACGACTCGTGGTCCCTCGGACATGCAGCTGCGCTTGGAGTCCTCCAAAATACTCATGCCGAATTTGCGTACAGCACAACCGCCTTCATTGGGAGCGCCACAAAGTCGTGACCATTTACATCGTGTCTTCCAGTTATGCGCCTGTTCCAATGGCAAACTCTTTCTTGCTGCGCCACATTCGATATGCGCCGGCGATGATAGTACCGTTTGCAGATGATTGCCAGAACGGAGACAATAAAGCGGGGGAAAAGGCATTCTTCAGTGGATGGCATGAAAATAGCGAAATAAAGAGGAATTAATAATCTATATATACGTATACATAGAAGTAATAAAATATGTATTTATATGAACGTAAGTGTAAGCACTAAGCCTAAGCATAAACACAAGCAGGGGTTAATGTAGAATTCATATCGATGTAAATGTTAAAGAAAAAAATATTTATGCACCCAAAGCATAATTATAAGGGTATACAGAGAAAGGTGTTCAGCTAATTAGCGCAACCTTGAAAGCTGATGGGGTATTATGCATACAAGCTCTGAACTAAAAAAAGGGTTGCCATCTTAGGTCAAAATACCAAGGGACGAGTAGACTTTGCTTTTTGAACCAGCTACAAGGATAAGCTAATTAGCTGACATCATTAAATAAACAATGGAATAAATACACAAATATATACATAAAAATTTGTTAGTGTTTGTAAATAAATAAGTCAAATCTGTTAGTTAATAGCAGCGTTGAATATAAAACTAAGTAGGCTTTAATAAATATATATTATTATGAAAACCTATACAAGTATGCATAAATGTAGATAAACATGCATGCAATCATACACACATATGTATATATACATAAGTATAAAAAATAGAACAGTTATTGGTTGCTAAAATTAAAGTGAAAAAGTGGCTGAAAAACCACCGAATAAATTATGTTATTAGAAAGTAAATATTTATTTAGTATTAACGCGTGCATTAAATATACTGAATATCAATAAGTATTTACATGCAAAGCATATGTATGTGAATTGTGCGTTTATCTGGTAAGTAGAGCATTAAAAAAATTAGTATTCTAGATATTTGTAAACATATACATAAATATGAAAAT